ACCCTGCTCCCTCGGGCTTGGACCCCTAATTAAACCAAGATTCATAATAATTATCATTTTGATCCATACATTGGTAATGTCTGACTGGACCTCAGGTCACTTTATGTTCAACAAATTGGGCCCCGAGGTCAAAAAGGTGAAGAACCTCAGATTTAGACCAAATATTTAGGCATCATTGTAACCAACAAGACAAATTAAATACCATCTCTGGATCAACTAATGATACCAGGTTGACCTCAGTATGAAAATGTAACTTTTAAAGCCAATAATCAGAAAATATAATTAGGTCATTTTGACCAAATTTGACTTAATCCTCATTTCGATGTGATGGGTCACATTGAGCTGAAGCCAGCAGCTCTGCAGAGAACACACCTCTCCTGCAGGTTGCCAAACGTTGTGTCCTGGGTTCTCCGTCCTCGTGGACTGCCAGCTTCTCTCCTCCACTGCTCCATTCTTCGCTCCACTCCTGGACTTTGTCCTGTTCTCATGTCCTCCATCTGTCTTGTCTTCAGCTCCTGTTGGAGACTGTGAACCTTTTCTAGAAGACAAAACCAATCTTTACTAAGAACACTGAATTTTTCGTAAGTCCAATTAAAGGTTTCTTGATTTGTTGATAAATCTGATGTTGGATGTAAAAAGAGCAAAGGAGCCAGACAGAAGATATTTCATTTACGTTTAGTAATTTTTAAAATGATGTGCACATGAAGAAAATAAGTCTAATCTATATGAATTAAACTGTCAAAACCATAAAAACTGTAAATGCATGCGTAGCACTCAGCAACATATAAAACTGAAACATTAGGTTTTTTATTACTGTAGTTCAAAACATTCAACCACTGAATGAAGGCTTCAGAGACCATCATAACCAGTTAACGTCACAATGATTTTAAGTTAAAGTCTTTTTATAAACACATGCGATGTATTGTTTTACATGGTTACCAGTAAAACTAAATTAGCAAAAAATAATAATAATTGATATAGAAACTATGTGAATGGTGTAATTGTGTCTCCATTTATTTATGGCATTAAAATCTGCCTCAACACAAGAAACCAGTCATCAGTGTGATGTCACTTCCTGCCTTCATGCAAATCAACACATAACCTACTCTATACAAGCCTCTTTGTGCAAAAAGAGATAAGAACAACACAGTTTGTATCCTCATCAGTAACACTCATAGCAGTATGTTGCACACAYTGARTTTGTTTGTGTAAATAATGTGTTWTGAACGACTGCAGCCCWATAAGAGARGGGGAAACTAAGACTGCAGTATTTATTCTCCGTTAATTCTTGTGTTCAGGTTTGAAACGTTCTGCAATCACTGTCACATCTCTCAGAAGTTACACACGTGAAGCTTTGGCACAACACTTTTGTTCACTATTACGACAGAAATTATGAGGTGCCGTTTGTAAAAGGTACACAGTCAAAAATTACCACCAATATTTTTGTTTTATTTAGCCTTTTATAAGAAAAAAAAGAACAGATTT